CCAACCTTCCTTCCAAGGAGTGGCTGGTGGGTTTGAACCATCAGCCTTCTGGTTAGCAGTCAAGTGCCTTAGGCACTATGCTACCAGAGCTCCTGGGTGTTGATTATGGATGCAAATGAATTTGAATCCTTGACAACTTTAATATTTTCTCCATTTTTCATGATATTTCTTATTGGTCCTGTTGTGAGGACTTTTGTTTTCTTTAGTTTGAAGTATAATCCATACTGAAGGCTTTAATCTTTCATCTTCATCAGTGAGTGCTTCAGGTCTTCTTCACTTTCAGCAATTTTTCCAGTAGACTATTTTTATCTTATATTTAGGTGTGGGTTTCTTCAGTAATGTTGCTTGGTACCTAGTGAATCTTTTCTGTCTGCAGACTTGAGTCTTCTTTGAGAGAGAGCAACTTGGACTCTGGAGTCTGGAAAAACGGCCACAAAATATGGAGCAAATTATTCAGCCACTTTGAGTACAGGTGCCTCATATGAAAAGCATGAATAATAATAATGAACTTATTTTAAAGTTCATATGAGGTGATGTACAGAATAAATACCATGCTACTCAGACCCAGCAGGCTGTATGCACTGAATTTCATTACTAATTCTTCAATTTAGGGAACTTTCATTCTGTGATCACTTGGGTTATTTGGTTCCCATTGTGTATTCCATAGTTTGTTTTTAAAATTTAATATATTTCTTTTATATCCTCTGCATTCTTGAACATGTTAATCATTCTTGTCATTTTGTTTTACTACTCCTTTTTTTTTTTTTCCCCCCTTTGGAGTTCTGGAAGCAATTCCTTATATCAGTTTTCTAAATCACTAGTTTGTTTTCATGTTCCATTATCACTTTAGGGATTTCAATTGGGTAATTGTAGTTTTTATCTAAAAGCAAGCTTTTGTAATTTTAGTTTATTAATATCCATACACGAAATCTCCTTTTTCAAAATAAAAAAGTGCTTTTATACTATAATGGTGATATATACTTACTATACAAATTTAGATAATAAAATAAAATAGTCACTGCTTAATATTTACCAAGTTTTTAAAAAATGTATGTTACTGTATAATAATAGTAATAAAAAAACATGGTCTGGAAAATATTCATCAAAATGTTAGCAGAGGCTGTTTTCTTTGTATGCATACATCTAAGGAGCCCTTGTGGTACTCAGCTGCTAATCAAAAGGTCAGCAGTTTGAACCTGCCAGCCACTCCATGGGAGAAAATTGTGGCAGTCTGCTTCTGAAAAGAAAAAAAAAGATTCAGCCTAGGAAACTCTATGCGACCATTCTTCCCTGTCCTATAAGGGTCACTGTGAGTCAGAATCTACTCTATAGCACTGAGTTTGATTTTTTGGTTATATATATGAAAGATGTCACTATAATTATCTCCTTTATAACTTAATAACCTAACATATTTATGTCAATAAACATAGATATTTATTACCTTTTAAGTAATAAAATGATATTCTCTTGGATAAGGAGCTCTGGTGGGGTAGTGCCTAAGGCATTTGACTGCTAACCAGAAGGTTGGTGGTTCTAACCCACCAGCCACTCCACGGAAGAAAGACTGGGCAATCTACTTCAGTAAATATTTACCATCTTGAAAATCCAAAGGGGGTTGCTGTGAGTTGGGATCAACTCAATGGCAGTGAGTTTTGTTTTTTATTTTTGTTTTTGTTTTCACTTGGGTCTCATTTAAAATTCAAGCAGTTTTTTTTTTTAAATATTCTTGCTTTTATGGAAAATTAAACATTTGCTATTTCTCAGAATAGTTTCCTTTTCTGAAGTACTGGTACTGTGTATTTTCTCATATTTAGTGATTATGTGAGATGGGTTCTGTTAGAAATTATGTTATTTCCTGTCGGAATATGTTTGATATAAACATATTTGCTGAGTAAGTGGTATATTTGTCTGTGAGGTGTCAAAAAAAAAAAAAAAAAAAAAACCTCACTGCCGTGAAGTTGATTCCGACTCATAGTGATCCCTCCTTCGGTTTTCAAGGTGGTATCTCTACAGAAGTAGATTGCCCAGTCTTCCTTCTGAGGTGTGAGGGGCTGGTGGGTTTGAACCACCAGCCTTCTGGTTAGCAGTCAAATGCCTTAGGCATTATGCCACCAGAGCTGCCCTGTGAGGAGTAGGGAGGGGTTATTGGTAAGACAAGTTCATGGCAGGGAAAGCTGCTCCTTTGCTAAGTATATTTACTCTCTGTGTGGAGCAGCAGTGGAGCTAGAGTTCCAAACATTTATGTGAAGTAAAGAAAGAGTCTTGAGACAATGAAATTTACTGATAGAACAAGGAGCTATTTTGCTACTCCTATTTTTTTGTTTTCGTTTTTTTTTTTTTTTTTTTTTAATAACAGTCTATGTTATGTTAGGGAGCTCTGGTGGCATAGTGCCTAAGGCATTTGACTGCTAACCAGAAGGCTGGCAGTTCAAACCCACCAGCGACTCCTTGGAAGGAAGATTAGGTGGCCTACTTCCATAATGATACTGCCTCAGAAACCCAAGGAGGAGTGGTTGTTTTTGGATGTTATGTTAAATGGAACAACTACTGTTGGTAGCAGCTTTTTGCCACAGTACCTTAGCTTTCATTAGCAGGCTGCTCACCAGATGAAGGCTAAGGATGGAAATAAAAGCTAGCTGCCCTGTGTGGAACCATCGATCGATTTTTTCCAGTAATCCCAGGATTTGACTCCCATCATCTACCACAGTTCACCTTTGTCCCTGGGCCCTGCAACTCTGGGTTTGTAAGTTTCCTGGGATTCTGCAGGAGAATGCCATTCACTTACTTCCTCAGAGTGCTCTTCCTTTGCTGTATTGAATTAGGTACCTCCCATAGCCTAATCCTTCCTGTGCCATATTAAACAGAAACTTCTCAAAGTGCCTGGGGTGCTGATGCCACCCTTCTTTGTTTAGTAAACAGATTTTTTTTAATCCCCTAATTGTATAGGTCTGGTGGTGTAGTGCCTAAGGCATTTGCAAACCAGAAGGTTGGTGGTTCAAACCCACTAGCCACTCAGCTGAAAGAAGACTGGGCAATATACTTCTGTAAAGATTTACTGCCTCAGAAACCCAAAGGGGGTCACTGTGAGTTGGAATCAACTCGATGGCAGTGAGTTTTTTTTTTTTTTTTTTCTATTTACTTGTATATCTGTTAGGTTATGCCAATAGGTTTAGGTTTTGGGGAGGAAAGAATTTAAACTCAGAAACTCAAATTCCCCTTTTGAAAAGAAATTCCAGTGCCATGTTCTCTATTAGTCAAAGAAATATATGGATTTACCATGTAAAATGCTTTCCTGAAACCTGGATGTATTACATCTTCTGCTTTTCCTTTATTTGTCTGATGTTTCTGTTTCTACAATAGATGATTCAACACGCGTTCCTCTTGGAAAAAGCAGGGACTACATCAATGCTAGTTATATTAAAATAGTAAATTCTGGAGAAGAGTACTTCTACATTGCTACCCAAGGACCACTGCCAGGTACCATAAATGATTTTTGGCAAATGGTTTTGGAAAATCAATCTAATGTTATTGCCATGATGACCAGAGAGATAGAAGATGGAACTGTCAAATGCCACCGATATTGGCCCATCTCCCTGAAAAAGCCCTTGGAATTGAAATACTTCCTTGTCTTCTTGGAGAGCTACCAGATACTTCAAGATTTCATCATTCGAATGTTTAAAGTTGTGGAGAAGACTGTAAGTTTTTAAAAATCCCAATTAGATATGTTTCACTGCATAAGCAGACATATCAGGACCAGTAGTTAGGAATAGAATGGGACAGAGAACTGGGAATGCTTTTTATTTTTTTATTTTTTCTTTAAAAATTTTTTTTTTAATTTTATTGTAGTTTGGGTGAAAGTTTACAGAGCATGTTAGTTTTACATTCAACAATTCATACACATTTTGTTTTGTGACATTGGTTGCAATCGCCTCAATGTAGCAGCACTTCTCCCCTTTCCTCTTGGGTTCCCCATTTCCATTTGTCCTTTCTTGCCCCTTCCTGCCTTCTGAGCTTTGCTTTTGGGCAAATGCTGCCCTTTAGTCTCATATAGTTGGTTGTACTGAGGTGTTATCCTTGGTGTTATCATTCACTTTATAGGCCTGTCTATTGTTTGGCTGAAAGTTAACCTCTAGGAGTGGGTTCAGTTCCAGGCTTGAAGGGTATCTAAAGCCAGTAGTCTTGAGGAGGGGGTTCCACTAGTCTCTATTAGACCATTGAGTCTGGTCTTACTTGTGGTTTTGAATTTTGTCCTATTTTTTCTTTTTTTTCCTCCCTGTTTGTCCAGGACTTTCTATTGTGATCCTGATCAAAACAGTTGGTAGTGGTAGCTGGGTACCATCTAAGTCTTCTGGCTAGTGAGGGCTGTGGTTCGTGAAGTCCATTAGTCCTTTGGACTAATTGTTACCTTCAATCTTCAATTTTCTTCACTCATTTTTGTTCTGAACAAGGAGAAACCAATAGCTGCTTCTTAGATGACCGCAGATAAGCCATTAAAACCCTAGTTGCTACTCACAAGAGTAGGATATAGAACATTGTGTTTGTTGACTATGTTGAGCCAATTGACCTAGTTTCCCCACAAGACTGTGATTCTAGGTCCCAAAGCCCAGTGACTCATTCTCTGAAGGTATTTGGTTATGGTTAAGAAGTTTTCAGAACTTTGCCCTTGTTTATTCTACAATATCCTTGGATATGTTTGCAACACATACAAATATATATTTAGAAATATCCTCTGCCAAACCTATGTATACTTGTGGGTGTACTCCCATTCATTCACACATCTGTTCATCTTGCATGTCTTTCTGTTTTTCCACTCATAGATGTTACTTGTTATTATTGTTATTGCAGGACTGTGTCTATAAAAGACATAACTTTTGTGTCTTTTACTTTTGTACACCTCCCATGGATTTCCTTTGCCACTGATCGTACTGTGCTGTCTGCCCTCCCCTTCGTTGTGTATTGCCTTCTCTTTCCTGTTAATATGTGTCTACTCCTTAGTTAGTGATTTGTCCTCTCTTCCCCTCCCCACACTGGTAAACATCAAAGAATATTCCTTTCTGTGTGTAAACCTTTTCTTGACATTTTTAGAATAGTTGTCTCATACAATATTTATCCCTTTGTGATTGACTTACTTCACTTAGTGTAACATCTTGGCAAATTTAGTATATGCATTCTTAGGATAATGAACACTATCTGATAATGA